GGTAATCATTCATTTATTCATTTTCCTTTAACTTAGTCCCTTTATTAATCAGAAGTCGCCACAGCGGAATGAACCACCAACTATTCCAGCACATGTTTTACACAGCAAATGCCCTTCCAGCTGCAACCCAGCACTGGGAAACACCCATACACTCTCATTCTCATTCTCATTCTCACACACACACTTACACACACACACACACACTGCAAAAAAATGCTTTTCTTACTTAGATTTGTTGTCTTGTTTCTAGTACAAATATCTAAAAATTCCTAAATCAAGAAGAATATTATAGACAAGCAAAACATATTGTCTTGTTTTGAGAAATAAAATGCCAATATTAAGTGAGTTTTTCCTTAAGTCAAGCAAAATAATCTGCCAATGGGGTAAGCAAAATAATCTTACGTCAAAAGAAAAAACAAGATTATTTTGCTTACCCCATTGGCAGATTATTTTGCTTGATTTAAGGAAAAACTCACTTAATATTGGCATTTTATTTCTCAAAACAAGACAATATGTTTTGCTTGTCTATAATATTCTTCTTAATTTAGGATTTTTTAGATATTTGTACTAGAAACAAGACAACAAATCTAAGTAAGAAAAGCATTTTTTGCAGTGTACAACTTAAAGGGCACCTATTTTACCCCCTTTTCAAGGTTTAGTATAAGTCGTTTGTGTCACCAGAAAATGTTTGTAGAGTTTCAGCTCAAAATACCCATCTGATAATTTATTATAGCCACAATTAAAAGAATGTGTAAATGGACAGGCAAACAAATCATACATAGGCAAATAATCGAAATTGGGCATCAAGGCCTGACGCTCAAAATAAAAACTAAATACTGAAATACTACAAATAATAAATTGCAATATGTAAACTCCAACTTTGGTGGAGAATATCTTGTCTCAAAAAAAAAAAGTGAAAATATCTGAATTGCAAACTCAAAATTCTGCAAAAAAATAAAAAATAAATAACCATAAAAAATATAAACACAATCCTGATTTGAGAAAATGAAGCAGGATCACAAGACAAGCCTAAAATTCTATGAAAAAGGTCATAACTACAAGATGTAAACTCAATTAAAAGCTTAAAACTAAAATCAATCACTACACAATTGTCTTGCCTACTCTTGCCTCCTCTAGACTGTAAATCAGTGCATAAATCTGGGCAGAAGTCATGCAGTGTATTCCAACCTATAGCTAGAATGATTTGTACTCAAGAGTTTATGTACTTATTTACTTAAGCATGTATATGTGGAATTGTCTCCATTGTTTCCTTAAAGATAGAGTTATTCTTCCTTCAGGAGGTCTTTACTGGCCTCAGACTCAGTATTGCATTCATGGAATTGCGGAGAAGGGTCAGAAGGGAGTGCTGCTGGTGCACTGGGGTTTGCTGAGGTTGCAGGCTCAATGGGAGCAGCACTTCTAGAGTCCTCCGACTGGACAGATGAGCGTCCCCTGTTGGAACGTCGTCTTTCTGGGTTGGTGGAGGAGGGTCTCTTTTCTGGACGAGGAGGGTTGCGGTCCTGGCGGCGGTGGGACAGCTGGATAGTTTCCTTATCTAGAGCTGTGTTCTACGGGAGAGAGACAACACGGTAATGTTCACATGAGCTGCACCCACCCAAAAAAATGGAAAGGAAGTTGGAAACAATTCAGTCAGGAAAGAATGAGATGAAGTTACGATCTGGGAGGTCAAGAGAAAGATCAATTCAATCTTAAAGGGACAGTGCACCCCATAAACAGAAAATTCTGTCCTCATTTACTAAGCTTCCTGTTTTTTCAAGATTTATGACTTTCTTTCTTATGTGTAACACGTAAACAAAATATAAGTTTTTTTTCTACTTCCCATGATTTTATTGTATTACAAAAAGTGAACTTGGCTGATGGTAGTCATTTTATTTGCCCTACAAAGCATGTTTTAAAAGAAATGTTTGGTTTTAAAGGAACAATTTGGCCCGAAATTAAAATTCTGCCATCATTTATTAATTCTCCACTTGTTTCAAACTCGTTTGGCCTTCTTTCTTCTGTTGAACAAGAAGGAATTCTGTTTATAACCACTTGAGCATGAGTAAATCTTGAGGAAATTTTATTATCATTTTACTACCAAAAGAAATGTTAGGTTTTAAAGCAATAATTTTGGCAAAAAATAAAATTCTGCTATCATTTATTCATCCTCCACTTGTTTCAAACCTATTTGAGGTTCTTTCTTCTGTTGAACAAGAAGGAATACTGTTTATAACCACTTGACAGAATTTTACAAATTTTAACAAATTTTACTATTATTTTAAAGTACCAGTATTAAGTATTTTTGAAAATTACCTTTCATACAATGTGTGGGTAAAAACATTTTGCAGAAGTTTTAAATCTGAAAGTGTCATCAAAACAAGTCATTTTTAAAATAAATTCCTAGCCGTTTTATGTTGTCAACAAAATGATACATTAGTAGAGTGTCTGCCAACTGGTTGTGCACACAGACCCGTGAAAGCATCATGTTGAGAATATTTCAATAGTTAATATTCAATTTTACACGAATGCTACAATAGTGAAGCCCCAAAATAAGTGTTCTCTTCATTGTACACCAACCTAAATGAATACAAAGTTGGATTGTAGCCAGTTGTTATTGAAGGAAGGTTCATCAGCATTTCTGTATTGATCAATGCTTCCTCATCAGACTAACATGTCACTAAAACCAAAATATATAAATAGTTTTTTTTGTAATTTCCTTGCAGCTATTCTTGTATGAATTTTAGGGCCCTATCATACACCCTTGTAATTATTAAGGTGCAAGATGTGTATGGCGCGATTTGTTGCCATTTTAAGACCAGCGCAACCCTAATTTTCATGTCTTGCACCATGTTGCTTAAATAGCAAATCCATTTTGCGCCACTTTGTGGACTCATGGGTGTGCTGGTCTGGAAAGTAAGTATGTTAAGGCGCATTGTTGGCGCATTGCTATTTTTAAAGAACAGAAATAAACTGTGCCACTGAATAACTAAAAGCTGGTCCTAATACACACAGTAAGTACAGAAATACAAAAATATCTTTACAAATGAAAAAAAATAAATAAATAAAGGATTAAAATAATACAAAAATGATTAATTTCTACATAAATATAAAAAAAAAAAAACACTACCTCCATACTTTCTTCATATAAGGGGGCTTTCTTTCAGTTATTAATGACAGCTTGCATTTGTATAATATTATAATTAGCAGTATTATTTATTATAAACATGCATATTTATATTTGTTTTAATAAAAACAAGTTTAGATTTGTCCATAAGAATAAGATGTGTGTTTGGATATAACTTTGAATAAACCATACTTGAACACTGTTCATTTATTCATTTACTGGAAATTAGAACTGAATTTAGAAATAGTTTTGAAACAAATCTTTGCGCTTAAACTAAATGAAATATGTAGGCTAATAGATGTCTTCAGTGGAGTGTGCACAACACCGTTTCCTTATCCATGAAAGTAAAAAGTAAAAGTCAAGTAAAGAGGCCCAATGGAGGAGGCTCATTCTTTATTAAAAGTGAATTCGGACACACCAATTTTGCTTTTGCGCCATGCGCTTTAGATTTTGCGCCTATTTTGTTAAACCAGAGCCATAAAAGTGATTGGTTCAGTTCTGTATACACACCAATTGTCACTCCTGTGAATTACTGAACTCTGCTTACTTTATAAAAGCGAACATCCCTAAGCTTTAACTTTATGAATGATACAATACTACATTTGAATATATTTTATTACTACACTGTAAAAAAAATATGCTAATTAACCATTTCTGTATTAAGAGTTTTCCATTTATTTACGGTTGTGAAAAGCATTATAGGATGTTGATCTCTGCTCTGTCGACTTTTGATGTTGAAAATTACACTCTACAGTTTAACAAAGGGACTTTTATTGACATTTTAGTTGTTTGAAATACTATGATGTATAAGAAAAAATGAGAAATAAGTCAGAAACTGACTATAAAATAGCCGAAACTGGCAGTTAATTACAAGGTTTTTGTACCTAATAAACTTTTAAGGTTAAAAATTGTTAAAAGAAAGATCAAGGTCACATAATGCACTTCAAAATCACAAATAAGTAAGGAAATATAAAATATATATAAAAACATGAATTACAAATTACGGAAACCCTGGCTCATTCTGAAAATGTACCGCGATTTACATTTCCGGAGAGTGCCAAATACATCCCAGGAGCTAAATTTTTTTGCAGTTTATGATTTCGTGAATCCATCAGAGGTCACTATGTGCGCTTTTTGAGATCTCAAACTTCTCTTGCGAGTGCCATTCGCACTTGCTGTTCTCGCGTAAATCTATAAGAGGCCGCTGTTGACTGACTGAATGACTGACTGATAGATTGGCTGACCCACCCTCCTCATTTCCTAAACCCAAACAATAGCTTTAAAGAGCAATACAGAAAAAGAAAAGCTCTCGTCTGATTTTTACCACGTTTTCAGATTTTACCACCTTTACTCACCCTGTAATGTACTTGTTTATTTTATTTTTTGGCTTCTGTTTTTGTCTTTTGTCCCACTTTCTGGAATTATTCTTCACCGGACTTAAACCCCGTCGCCGTGGTCAACTCCTCTCTGCATCTCAAATCCATTGACATACATGGTGAGGTAACTGGACAAACTGGTAACAGCGGTAGAGCTGTCCATATTGAGGTAAGCAGTCAGGTGATAAGCATTCTTTTTAAAGACAAAAATCAGCCATACGTACTTCTGGTTACGTAATTGTGTGTATGTATAGGGCTACATTTTCAAAATGAGCCTGTGTTGCAGAAAACTGTTAATTTACAGATATAGATTTTTTATATATTGTATAAAACACTGGGCCTTTCATTTACTACTCCAACATTCTTCAAAATATCACTTTTTGTGTTCTATATAAGACAGAAAACCATTGCAACAAAATGGCTGTGATTAAATGAAGACAGAATGTTTGTATTTGCGCATGTCCCTTTAAGGCTTCAGTAAAGCAGCAGTTCTGTGTGTTTTCCCATTGCTGTAAGAAGAAACATATCCTAAGATAATAAAATAAAAAAGCAGTATGAGTGACCCGTTTTTCCTGAAAAGTCAATACTATTGATTACATCACAGATGGAAGAGGGCAGAAAATGGAAGAGAGCGGAAAAACATCACTGAAGTTCACAGCAAGAGGAAAGTTAGTCAAGAATTCTCAAAGCTGCCAACTTTCCATTGTCTTGCCGGGGGAAAATGAGTATCTTCAGTGCTGTTCCTGACACTTTCTCCCAGTGTAAGAGTGCATGTGTGTGTGTGTGTATGTGTGTGTGTGTGTGTGAGGAGACAGGGTAGCGGGGAGGAGCATAGCAGTTAGTGTTAGTACATACCATTGCCTTGGAGCTAGTCAGAGGATAGCAATGCCATGGGGAGAGCAGAAGCAGAGGACAAAGACTAGTCTTACTCACAGAGCACATACAGCACAAATTGATACACAACACTAACATAACAAAACCTCTAACATTTCAGCTGAGGGACATTTCCCAAGGACTGCTGCTTCAGAAACGCCAGCTTGCTTAATTTAAGCAAAATATAGCTGCTTAGAGAAAAAGTCAGCTCAGAAATGAACATTCTGGCATTGTTTGTTCAGCCTCATATGGTTCCAAACCCACATGCTGTTGTTTTTCTTGGTCAAACAAGCTGTCAGGTTCCAAAATTGCACTACAAAAGCACTACTGTAAATGTACTCTATATAAAATGCTCTGTTTTTGATGAGTAGGGTTTTTCTGCCTTAGCTGAACATTCTGTTAGTGTGTGGTTACAAAAGCTGAAAACTAATGTCATCCGTTTTTACTGATGTTAAACACTTGTAGTAGGAACCATATTTAATTTGAGAGATTATTGATTGATAATAGCTTTTAAAAAAGTCCAGTCTTCACAAAGCTATCATGTAATTTCAAAATTTTAATCTTAAATATGACCCATATTTACCTTATTCTTCCTCATACAAAGCTTATTCACCTATTCAGTTTGTTATGCTGATTGATGTTGCAAACTTGTGTTTTCTTGTCATAAACACAATTGTTAAAAGAGCAAATAGTTTGACAGCTTACTGATGTTTATTATTCCTAGTCATTTTCCTTACAGGCAAATCAATACCAAGAATAAAATCAATAATTATGATGCTTAAATTGTATATACACTCACCGGCCCCTTTATTAGGTACACCTGTCTAACTGCTCATTAATTCTAATTTCTAATCAACCAATCACATGGTAACTCAATACATTTAGGTATGTAGACATGGTCGAGACGATCTGCTGCAGTTCAAACTGAGCATCAGAATGGTGAAAAATGGTGATTCAAGTGACTTTGAATGTGGCATGGTTGTTGATGCCAGATGGGCTGGTCTGAGTATTTCAGAAACTGCTGATCGACTGGGATTTTCAGGCACAGCCATGTTTAGGGTTTACAGAGAATGGTCCGAATAAGAGAAAATATCCAGTGAGCAGCAGATCTGTGGGCGCAAATGTTTTGTTGTTTTCAGCTAATAGAAAGGCAACAGTAACTCAAGTAACCACTCTTACAACTAAGGTCTGCAGA